TTTTTTCGCATGGCCCCCCCCCAAATCCCACCAGCCCCCCCTACCTTATAAAAAATGAACGGTCCCTTACATGATAAATAAATGTGTCGCCATATTTACAATGCGATCGCTGTACAGTACTGCAACCCTCGCAAGAAGCCAGTCGTTTCTTGAAAAAGAAGACCACGCGAGAAATGAGCCAAGTTCTGTAACAAAGTCGTGTTATTCCCAGATGCACAGGACGGGATTTGAACCATCAAAAGAGAGGTTTTTGAATGACTCAGCTAGTTTTGTTCTTATTCCACACAGGAGTTTTCTAAAGAAAAAGGTCGCTTTGTAATAAATTTGTTGTGGAGTTTATTTCACATACAGAAGTTAAGTTTAGCTAGCAAAATTAAAAAATTGTTCCATTTTGTAACCAGACCCCATCCAATCCTCACAGCTTGGGCCGATCTTTATAATTAACTAAAAGATGTTTTTACCTGGGTGTTTTGTCTGCATGAGAATAGATCTCATCCTGATCCACATGATAGAAGTCACTCACAATTCTTACTTGCCTTGCCACAAGTCGACCTTTGCTTAATCCTTCGCTTATTCATCGTAGCAGTCTTTGATTGGTAAAGTTGCGAGCACGAGCGATGTAAGTCAGAAAAGGTCGACTTGTTTCCCTCGCAGGGATGTGAATCAGAGCTTAAATTTTTGGCGCGGAAAACATGATTGACATATCTCTTCATTTTTTCTTCCAGTGGCGAAACCAACAGACCAGGGAAGAATTATTGGAAAGGACTGTTAGAAACTCTAAATTCTTACACTGGACATCTGTACATTTAGTCCCATTACTAGTTACTAGGTTAGAGTGTTCTTAAATTTAAATTAGATTTTGTTATTGTAAATATAGATATTTGTTAAATGTGGCATAAAACAGTTTCCATCACTTACATTTTGATGGGTTGTTTATAACCACTCCTTATCACTTGATGCTACAATCATGGTATCAAAAAATTGCCCAATCATTAGTGAGCATGTTGTTATCATTTTCGTGATGCAATAGGTTACCATAGCAACAGTATGACCCACTAAAACACCCTTAATTACAGCTTTATGGGCTTATAATTCAAAAACGGCACAATGAAATTTTTTTATATTATCAAATTTTAATAAGCATGATAAGACGCAACTATTGGCAAAGTGAAAAAAATTTTGTACGGAAGGGTTCAGAGCCACTTCAAAACGTTAAGGTGACTCTCTTAAAGGTTTTTTGTCAGTGATTTTTCAAACTAAAAATGCATATTTTATACATGTATTGAATTTACACTGCCCTTGTAAACTGCAGTCATCACTCCTGGGCTTCAAGGGCAGTTGTTTGGTAGAATAAGGTTTGTTTTTCTCTGAGTTGTATTGTTTTATAAATAAGTCAATAAAAGAGAACACTCAGATATATTAACTGGTGAAGTACTTTATTTTAATGGCCTGTATCCATCCCACACAGTATTTTGTGCTGAGGTACATGCGCAGTTTTCACCTCTCGACATAACTTGGGACAAGCTTGCTACTGAAGCGTTTGAACTGTGTTCAGATCAGTGAAAAGTTAATAATTATATGATTGTGTTTTTCACATGACCCCGTGTATGTGTTCCTATCCAACGAAATTTCCCTCCTTTTGGAAGTGAATTAATCTTTTCTCAACATTAGTTTTTTAGTATACATTCGAAGTTGTGTTTGATACTGACTCTACTAAAATGTTAATGTTTTAAAACGTTTTAAGACTGTAATTTCAGTTGGCTTTTTAAACTGATAAAGACCGAAGTTGTTTGGTCGCAGCATCTCTGTATGAGTAGCTATAAAATTAATTAAGTTGATTTCACGTTTTAGTAGAACCAGTGTCAAATGCAACTATGAATTATTTTATACTACTGATGTCCATTCCTGACTGCAATTTTTGAATTTTTCGTTTAAATTATTTTTTCAGTCCCTTTTTTGACTTTTTTCTTTTTTTTTCTCAGAAGTGATTCAGTTAGATGGTGACTACATTACTGGGTTTAAGTGATGACACTATTAACAAAGATGCCCTGAAACATGTCATTCATACATGTAGAACCTGCAATTGTTTTTATTTTGTTAGAATAACGTGAACAATGTACAAAGTGTAATTTACAATTTCCCAAAACCATAGCATTACCTTTTTTTACACTGAAATTGGTCATTGACAAAGGAAAAATTGCCCTTGCTGGATGCCAACAATAATCCCTTAACGCAGGAGGGGTGGGCTGTGTACATTAACTTTTCAAAGTTTGTAACTTTTTTACTACTCAAAAAGTGACAGCTACCAAACTTTTCTGCTTCTTCTGACATTTATCTGGGACAACTTCACACGCCATGCATTGTACTCCTTGTATGGCCCATTTATAGTTCAGGAAGTTAGATTTCAGTCACTCTTTGTGGATGAAGTAACCTGCATTTTTTATCATTTCTTTTTTTCATTAGTGTCATCACCCACTAGGTGTCCTCCAGCCTTCTTGATGCATTTTCCTGCAAACCCAAATACCTGTTGACATCAAACAAAATGGCAAAATGTTTTGTTAAATTGAAAAAGAATGTGGTTAGTGCACTAATGGTTAGTGCACTCGTCTCCGGACAGAGCGGTGCAGTCCGGGTTTGAGCCATGGCCAGGGTCATTGTTTTGTGTTATTGAGCAAGACACTTTACTCTCGCAGTGCCTCTCTCAACCCAGGTGTATGAATGGGTATCGGCGACCTTACTGTTAGGGGTAACCCTGCGATGGACTAGCATCCAATCCAGGGGGGAGTAGAAATACTCAGTCACTTCATGCTGTAGATACTGGGATAAGCTCTGGCCATGCTTTTAGCCAGATTGGTGTCCAGGCATCCTGTAGATGGCAATTGCTCATTTGAGCAGGCCCTATAATACATTATGGATGGTCACTTTTCAAATTCTGGCTCCCACGTCTGATGGGCCACTTGGCTTGTATGCAGACTTTACCTTTTTTTTTACTATTCACTACAATGTAAATTAATGTGATTAATAAGTGTTCATTTGAGAACAATTACAACTTACGTACCTGGCTAACTTTATCAAGTGGATGACAGTATGACACTAGTCTTGCTGTTGTCTCGTAGCACTTTGAACACATGCCATAAAATCCATTCCAGACATCTAGTACAAGAAAAAAAAAACGTTTTCTTAACTACAGTAACTAGTAATCATTAAATAATAATAATTAACTTATTAGGAAGGAATGATGATTATCATTCCTTTCTGAAGTAATCATTGTAGTTATGAATGCAAATTACATAAGAAAAAAAACAAAAAAAACAATGGGCTTGAATGTAATTGATTGAAACCCAAGACCATGGACCAGAGATTTTTATCATATTGGTGCAGTGCTCTGCAAACTAAGCTAATCAAAACAAATGAAAACTTTGAGAATCAATAAGAAATGGTTGTACAGTCGAACCTCCACTAACAGCCACCTCTCTACAATGGCCTTTTTGCTCTGTCCCCAACTAGGCGGCAGTTGTGGACAGGTTCAACCATAGATGGTGAGGATATATTAGCAAACGCATGTATTTGAAGTAGAAGAAAAATATTTGCTACATGAAAGATCATTGCCGTGATGATTAAAACCAGCCGATCAGATCTCGGGAAAATTTGAGGCTGCCAAGAAGTTGGAATTCTTGGTGCTGATCAAAAACAATGTAGCTTCAAAGAAGCTCAGACATTGAAATGGTCAAAGAATCAATCTCCGTGTAGATTCTTACACTCCCTCAAATTCCCTGAACTGACTACATTGTTGTTTCATACATATACCTGTAAGCTTGACTCCCTCGGCTTTGTAATGTTCGACATTTTTCTCCAAGTTTGTTTTCTTCATCATCATAACGTCCATCACTCTTCTAGTCAAAGAAGGCTCTTGTTCTTCTGCAGAATTTCCACTGTCCTCATCATTCTTTTGGAGTCTGACAAATCAGATCAATTAAAACTCAGTTTTGGAAGTATGCCATTACTACAAGACTAGTTCAAGATTCCAATCACTCCAATATAAAGAGCAAAAAACAATTAATATCATGAATGGTACCTTGATATATTCTGTCTGAGTCATTAACTGTTTTGAAACAATGTAATTAGCTGCAGTTATTTTAGATTCACATTACAATGAATAAAATAAGAATGCACAAGACGGATTCTGCTAAAGCTCTGTTTAAAACAGACAAAATTATTTGTGGATGATCTGTTTTGCAGATTCTTTTATTTTAGTATGCATGAGGAATGTTTAATAAGACAGCCTCCATTTCTAATTCCTGAAAGTTTGGGTTAGGCTGTGTAGATTATGAGAAGATGTTATTAAAAATTCTAGTGCACAGTGTTCTCTTATGTATGTGTTCATTCATTTTAGTTCGATTTATCAAGGTTTGTTTTGCTCAAGTGTCGCATATAATGATAAAAAGCAAACAGTAACTAGAGAAAGAAAAAATATCTTGGAACAGTTTACAAAAGAGTCATCATTTAACATCAGTCTCTTTTACTCCATCAAAACTGTAGTGAGCCACATTAGTTAAGGTGATGAATTGTTACTATAGCTTCTTTGTGTTTGAATTCAACACGTCTCCAAAATTATTACTACAAAGCCTGATCCTTACTTGTCATCTTCATCCCTTTCAATTCTGATGTGTGTGTGATCATGAGCTTTTGGAGGAGGTACTGTAATCTCTGAAATGGAAATTTACAAACAGCCATGACACAAATTTGTTTGATGCATGCCATTCCTTCAAACGAACATCACTGCTCACAGATATACCTCTTACTAACTGAGTTCGAGGTCTGTACTGTAAGTCACGGACCGAGTTTTTTCCCCATCGATTTATGGCCCAAGCACGAAGGGCGTGGGCCATAAATCCAAGGGGGGAAAATGAGGATTCGTAACTTACAGTACAGACCGAGAGGACGAGGTTAGTAAGACATTTATTAAATCTCTATGTGCCTGACGGGTTCGGGAACGATTTCTATTCACACGGAATGGCTTCAAATTTCTGACACACCTCAAAAGCAAAACGAGTCAATTTGAAATTGTTTTTAAGTTGTTAGCCACGTTAATACAGAATTTAGAGAACGAGGAAGTTTTAAACTTTTACTTGCTATAAAAGTTAAGAACACTTGGCGATAAATCACCGAACACTTTGACAACAAAAACAACTTTAAATTTTAGTGCGCCATACAAGGGAATATGGCCTGCTAAATTGACCAATCACAATGCGCGTACCAACTGAGAGATACATTGTATAACAAAATACAATACAGGACTACAAACATTCTCTCTTCTCTGGCCAAATCTTGAACTCAAAAATCCTTCTGTAAAGCCAACTTTCCAACTGATATGAAAACAAAATAGCTTTGGAGAAACTTACTCCACAGGTGGTACTACAAGCATGAAAAGGAGATGGTACCTGGGGCTGGTGTGAATGGATCTGTGATTAATTTTGCATCCAAAAGCCCCATAACTCTATGACTAACATTAACCATCTTTGCCAGCTGTAGTCTCTGGGTAGCCTGCAAACACAGATGAATTTTCAACCTGGCTTTGTTTCATGCTGCGGCATGAAACAAAAGCCGGAAATCCATCTGTTTTTGCAGGCTAGTCTCTGGGATACAGACCGAATCTCTCATTTCCCATATAGATAACCAAAATAATGTCCCAAATTTAAAGGAAACTGCTTTTGAGTACATTTTTCATTCTTCTTTTGGTCGATTTTTTTGTTTTGTGTTTCAAAGGGAAATTTTTGTATGTTTGATGCATTTTTGTGGTTGAATCAGTAGAGCTCTTCTTTTAACAGCTTTTTCTGGGGGAGGGAGGGTCAAGTAGGTAATCTGCAAGATTTCGGATTTTAGGTTATTATATGACGCACTGTAGTTGAAATTTGTTTCAATTTCATTTTGAAATGTTTCAAAGTGGTTTGATTTGCATTCTCTTAAAGTTGTGTCATTCATGATCATACAAATCTGAAACTACTGGCCTACAAAATTTCAAACCAGGGCAATCTTAAGCTTACATTGAAAGTGCGAAAGGCTACATTAATTTCATTTATAGCAGAGCTCCGGCGGCCCAAAGGGCCGCCAAGCGGAGCCCCATACTCATATAGGAGAGAAAAGGAAACCCATGAGTTGATTTTCTCATGGTCATCATTGCTAGCGGTATTGCTCGTGGGCGCGTACGCACGACGGCGACGACGACGGAGTCGCGCAACATGGCCGCCATACTCCAAATAATAGGTT